ATCCCACAGTGCTGCACACTCAATCTCAGCTTCATGTAGGCAGTCACTGATTTCCCTGGAGCCAATGTTGTCAATGTCACTCTGAATTTCCTCCAGTGGAAGAAGTCATGCACCAGTGTGTACAGGTGTGCAATACAGCTGCTAGCAGCAGGCATAGGGTTAAACTCTGCAAGTGTTTAAGAGGCATCTGGATCTGATACTGGAGGATAAATTTATGATTTTGGTGTTACAGCAGAGTAGCAGGTTAATGGTTTGACTCGATGATCTTAGAGGTCTCCTCCAACCTTGATGATTCTCTGATTCTAAGTGCGGGTGAAAAAAAAACCTCCTTTGCCTCCTGGAAAACCTTGTTTGTTGTGTCATGAGATGAGGTATTTTACTGTAGGACATCTGAGTCTTTTTGGAGCCCCCTCACAAATGAATTTGTCCCAGTGCCTTCCCTCACCAGGGAAAGGTGCAGATGCCAAACATCCATGCAAGGGCAGAGCACACACCAGGCATGCGAGCCCCAGAGCATGACCAAATGGTGACAGCTCCAGGGGAAGGCCTGGGACAGGTACTCTACTTCTGGATGCACAGCTCAGCATGCTGCACCTAATCAATAGGAGGCAGGAGGGAGGTCTCTCTATTATATGCAAGTGTCTCTGGATTTCTTTCTCCCAAATCACCTGGAACGATTTGTGCCATCACACAGGGGACAAATTGATATTACTTCTGCTATGTTCAGAGGAGCTAGCAAAACTGCACTCAAATAAAGTGTTTTTAAGCTTGTTGGCACTTGAGCAGGCACTTTAAGTCCTGTTTCACAGGTGACATGGGCTATATATATAATTATTTTTTTGCTTTTCAGTGACAGATAATCTAGAAGTTTTATTGGCACCTGATTTCAACTTGAATAGTTGTGGTTTAGGAAGGAAAATTCTTTTAAAAATTGCTGCAATTGAAGTATGGGGTTAGTAATGCCTTGAACTGCCAGCGAGCCTTGACACCTGATATAGTCTTCTTGAGTTCAGACCTCTTTCTTTCTCTGTCAGCAGTTTATCTCCTCATGCTACTTCTAAAAACACATTTTCCTCTCTCTCTTGCATAGCCCCAAGCAGACAAATACATCTAGGCTAATGGAAAAGTGAAGTTAATATAAAGAAGAACCTTATTACCTCTAAGTGGTTTTTCTTTCAAAGCTCTTACTTACCATGTCAGGATGTTCCTGTTCTCTCCCATTTTTCTTTTATTTCTTATCCCTTTGGAAAGATTCATTCCTACTTAGGAATTACCTCTGGGGACACATGGAGCATGAATCTTGCCTTTTGGCTGACTGACAGCTTAGATTTGATTAGTCACTTGCCCTTTAGCTGTGAATGAATAGCATACAATGTCAGAGTGGGACTAGAGGCTGGTGTGGAGTAACAGTAATTAATAGCTAGTAAGTACTCTTCCTCTAAGTAATATTTAACTACATTAAAGACAATATAGAAACTTTTGAAAAACAGCACAAAACCCAGTTACAGGATATATAAGTCACAAACCCTAACTCCCATAATTAATAGTTGAGTAATTTTCTTTCTTTAATAGAGTCTTTTTCAGGCATTACCAGTATTATTTTCATTATCATTACCATAAATATTATGTAGCTTTTAGACTGGAATGTGAATATAGCAATGGATATGTGTTTGGATGTGTGACATGATTTTAAAAGAGAAAAACCCAGATTTGTGATCCTGCTCCACGAACACGACCAGCAAAGAAAGTTCAATATGGAGAAGGTGTGTGGTTTGCACTTCTTTCTAGAAGCAGCTTAGTTTATGCATAACCTTGCTACATTATTGTCATTTGATCCATGAATAAAGCATAAATACAGAGGAAAACAAGCAGATAATGCTGGTAAACTGACAGTAGCAATACCCTTAATAATTCTCTGAAGCTGCCCCAGCTGGTGCCTATTTGCCTGTTGCAAGACTAACACTGGTGTGAGCAGTGCCCTTCCCATGCAGCGCTGCTGTCCCCAGGGTGCAGATCACTCCTGCTATGGAACAGCAATAATTGGCTCCTAGTCTGCATTATCAAGCAAGGGATGATAGACACAGAGAGATGCCGATCATTCAACTGGCTCCTGGCTCCCTGCCCAAACCCCCTTTTTCTCACACGCATGCAGAGATCCAGTAAACAGGACACAGTTTGGTATTATTGGTATTATTTGATATTCGTTTGCATTCAGACACATGCTCAGGCTCCCCTCTGCATGTGGTCTGTGTTTCAAGAGTTTGCTCTTATCTGCCTCATAAAGGAATGCTGTGGTTGCCATCGTTGTTGTGTACATCCTGAATTGTATCCTGGGCTCTTGCATAAACAGCACCTCTGAAGTCCTGGTCCACTGCTAATATAAGTTTTCTTTCCCACTGTCTGCAAAGAACCCTCTCTTCCACCCTGCTGGCCCTGGGGGATAGAAATGTTGTACAAAATACCTTCTGTGCCTTAGGTGTGGCTTTTTTCTTGCATGGTGAGCCAGGGAAGCTCAATACATGGAATTCCCACAATGAAATGTGTTTTCAAAACATAACTGTTGGTGCTGCATTGAACCCAAAGCTGGTGATGGGATGCTCTGCCATTTTAGCTGTTAGAGGAAGTATCTGGTTCTTCTAAAGAAATCTGAGCCAATGTTTGATTTTGGAGTTTGTTCTGACTTGTGTGACTATGTACACCTCTAAGGAAATTTGCAGAACTATATGTAGTGGTCATAGTTTCTTGCACATTCATCACAACAGAGCTTTAAGAAGTACTTCGTATTTTTAAATGGGACTTCAAGTCTCACCTTTCTTGCCTTTATGTGCTGGAACGATATATTTGTTTTTATTTTACTGTGTACTCAGTGTGATTGTGACAGCAGATTAAGAAATGCTAATGAAGAACTGTGGCACGAAGGTTTGCTGTGTTTTACAGAAGTGCTGGAAGTGCTAAAACAGTTTCCATGATGCACGTGGTAGACAAAACCAAAACCTCACACGGGTAATGTGATCTTGGGACTGTGACAAAAATACTATTACTGCCAGGTGAGGTAAGGCTCCAACTTTACATCTCTCTCTGAAAGTCCAAGATGGACAAGGCAACACAGTTCTCTCCTTCTGCAAGCAGAGGAAGAGAGCCCTGAAAACCCTAGGAGTGTCAGGTGTTCATAGTTTTGCATTTCTGGACACACACATTGATGTAAATAGAGATTTTCTAAACGTACAGGAAGCAAAGTAGATCCCAGAGAAGCTTTTGTTTACTCCTGTTTGCACTCTGACAGTTTGCTGGTGGGTGTTATCACGAGGATCCACTGTATGTGAAAAATTTAGTATTAGATGTGTTACTTTTCTTTCTTCTCAGTGTAACTGGCCTAGGAGCCAAGAAAAAAATACTGTGTTTTGACTTTTCATTTTCAGACCATTCCTTTATGGTCCTTCCTGACATTTTACAAGCAAGCAAGGCATGATCCATGAGAGAGGGCACACAGCTGGCTGCAAAACTGCACTCATAAAGCAGCTTTCAACATCTTACTGTTGAACTGAGAGGCTATTTCAAGGAGTTCACATGGATCTATACTGAGCCCATTAGTGTTAATTAGAGAAAGGCTAAAGAACAGGTATGAAGAGTGTGTATGAGTCTAGACAGATATTGGAAGAACTTTCAAAGAAATCAGACTTCAAGTGCAACACTTGCAAATGCTGAAAGGTTTTGAAATCTCTGAGATAAAACTGATGTTGTGAAGTACTGCACTTGGAAAACGGGAGGAATGAGCAATTGGGAATAAATAATAACAGCACTGTTAGCATGACAGCTCTGTAAGAGAAAAACAAATCACATGGCTTTGTATTTCTAGCTGATCATGAGAAAAAATGACAAATCTTTCTCTGTGGTGCATTAGTTGGTCTGGGTCACTAATGGCAAATAATTATTCTTTAGACAAAACTGCTGAGACCTCAAGTATAGTAACTCTGTGTGCAACTATAGGCATATCACTTTCTCAAAGATGGAGATGGACTGAGACCAGAGGAGACCAAGAAAACAGTACATTGTTCAGAAAGTGACTGGCTGGAGGGCAGGCAGTGTAAAGGTACTGGGCTTCTTACTTTGAGGGGAAAAAAGAGAAAGAATGATGCTGATTTTAAGAAAATGGAGAAACTAATCCACTTTATCTTCTCTGGACAATGAAGGAAATTTAAAGAATTAACTTAATTGGCAGCAAAACTCAGTGCAACATAGCAAGAAATACAGATCTCTTTCTTTCAGAGATGTTTGACACAGGCCTGGGGCAGAGAGATTACTCAGACCTCCCTTTGCAGACAAGATTTCTGGACACCCTTCCAACCTCTACAACCTTTTCTTCTGTTCTGCACTGGGACAGACACACTTTCCCAGGCAGAGCAATGTGCTCAGCTTTGTGATACACTTACTTTTACTCATGTCCTTCACCGAATTGTTGTGCCAGTGATTTTTGTTACCAACCCAGCCATTTTGGTGTAGGAACTCTTCTTTTGCTGCGTGAAAAACAGTCCCTATAAATTATACTATAAAGGTAAAAGAGTACAAAAAGAACAACGTGAGAAGGAAGCAGAATGGGACTTCTGATTTGATAAGTCATGTATATAGATATAAGGAGTCTGCAGAGAAGCTGGAGAGGGACTCTTTGTTAGGAGCTGCAGGGACAGGACAAGTGGCAATGAGTGTAAATTGAAAGAGGGGAAATTTAGGTTAGATATTAGGAAAATGGTTTTTTCCTGTGAGGGTGGTGAGACACTGGCACAGGTTGCCCAGGGAGGCTGTGGCTGCCCCAACCCTGGCAGTGTTCACAGCCCGGGTGGATGAGCCTTGAGCAACCTGCTCTGGTGGGAGGTGTCCCTGCCCAGGGCAGGGGGTTGGGACTAGATGATCTCTAAGGTCCATTCCAACCTGTAAAATTCTATGATACACTTATATAAATAAGTATCCTACATTATTAATTGTTGTCTTTTTTATGTTCACAGGGCTACAGCTACTCATAGGGGCCAAGTTATATTCAAGGATGCCTTAGCACAACAGCTGTGTGAACAGGGAGGTAAGAGTCACCATCATTCTAAAAATATCTGGCAAATGTGGTTTTCCATTTTGTCTGCATGTCAGTGTTGCTTTTCATAAAATCTATTCCATAGAAAATTTAGTATCAGGATTTTATTTACATTTTTAAAACTTACAGTTTCTATCTAGGAAACCCCTCTGTTGTCTTTGCTAAGTGTTGAGGAAGATACAAAAATTAAAGTAACATTAAGCACTTGCCTGAAATCAGCCTGTAATAACCAACATTTTTGTCAAAACCACAAACTGAGTTTTAGCTCTCGCTGTATTAACTATAAACAAAAAAAAAAAGCAGCAATATGCCTGCAGCAAAAGCTTTGTTTATCATCCAGCTCACACATGTCCTTGTGAAGAATCTGCCTTCCCATTTTCTGAAAGTAGGCCATTGAATTTTTGCCCGTCACCTACAACATTTGATCATTTTTATAGCTAAACAAATTGTTTGACTTACAGAAACTTTCAAAATCTAATTGTTTGCATGGCTTATTCTTTTGTTGAATAACTGAAAAAAAAGTCCTGTTGTCAGCTGTTGTCTGCAAACAGAACTCTGCTATGAACTTGCTTCATTAAAACAGCGGGAAGTAGAGAAGCTATCTGTCATTTTTGGATCTCTCCTGATCCAGTTATATCCACAAAATTTCAGTGATATTTCCATGTGAAAAGAAACAATGAAACATGGGCCTGCTGGTCTAAAATAAATATTTCAAAATGGGAAATGTCATATTAGCACACAAGAGAAAATCCTATAAAATACATCTTTTGAGGGCATTAGAGCTATAGGGATTGAAGATGTTGATCCTTGTGAGGAAAGGCTGAGGGAGTTGGGCCTGTTCAGTCTCAGGAAGAGACACTGAGAGGGACCTCATTAATGGATTCAAGTACATGAATGGGAACTGCCAAGATGAAGGATCAGACTCTTCTCAGTGGTAGAAACCAATAAAACAAGAGGTAACAGGCAAAAAACTGATGCCCAGGAAATTCCACCTGAACACAAGGAAGAACTTCTTTCCTGTGCAGTCACTGAGCACTGAACAGATTGCCCAGAGAGGTCGTGGATTCAAGAGGTATTCACCATAGCTTCTCTGCCCATAGTTTCCTAGCTCAGCCACAGTTTCCTTGACTCAGATATTCAACCACTGCACTGCACATTGCCCTTCCTCCCATCCCTTCCAGACCCAGGCTTTCCTCTGCCTTTTTGTCCTTATTTCTTCAGCTGACAGTGTGCATTGCATTAGTCTCTAAACGCTGCATACTATTACAGCTCTTATACTACGAGAATTAATATTCCTATTCAAAGAAAAGAGGCTTTCTTTGAAGCAAACCTCACTTCTTTTATTCCAGTTTCATCAACACTGCTGATATAAACAAAGGATTCTTTCAGAAAGAATTAGTGAAGTTATTTAGATGCAAATATCATATTAATATATATGCAAAACAGCAAGGTAAACTGGTTTTCTGGTCTGTTTCTAGCCCTAAACATTACTATACTGAAATGGTAATGAATGATGTGACATATTAAATAAAGAAAAATAAAAGCACAGGAAACTCCATAGATTTATTACAGGACATCTTCTTAGTAAGTATGTTCTCTGGAGCTGATATCAGACTTTATGATATCCAGTACAAAAGAGATACATGAAGATGTGAAAGTAGCAAGGAATCTCAGAAATCGTGTTCACTGTGGCTGTTCACCCTCAGATGTGCATTAATAAATCCTGATAGAGTTAATGGGATTTGTGCAGTGAAAAACAAAAAGGTGTATTTTGTATTTTGAAGAGAATTAGAGGATGATAAAGGGTAATATTAAGAGATGGAAATGCCAAACAAGCAGCCATATGTATAATGTAAACAGAATAAGAAATTATGCCTTGAGGAAAGACACCAAAGAAAGTAAAATAATCACTTAAAAGGCTCTGTGTTCAGAGTATAATACATATTTTAGGAAGCTAGAGAGATCTTCAAGAGCTGATGTAAGCTTTTAGTTTTATGAGAATTTTATTGGATGTCAAAGAAAGGAGACCTAAAAATTATCATAGGAAGAATTAATCCAGCACAAACAGAAAAATAAACCAAACAAAAACTGTGTAAGCAAAGGCAGAAAAGACAGATGCCTTAGAAATACTTTTAAGGACAAATAAGGATCACAATGACTGATGATATTCTTGCCACTAATAATGTATTTAATTAACCTTATAGTTAACTTGTTGATCTACCATCAAAATAAATGGAAAATAAGGTAAACTTAGTGTTGTGCAGATTGCTTCATATTTATTCCTGGCTTGAGTAGAGCAAAAACTCATACATTAATAAATACATACATAAAGTCATACATTAATACATAGTAGCATAATAGTAAGTCAAACAGAACAAAGACCTCCAGGTGGTTCTTTTCAAAGGGAAGTTTTCAGATGATGAAATAATTAGGGCATGGGAAAACATACATAGAATGTTGAGCAACTTAGGCTAGTGGAAAGTGTCCCTGCCCATGGCAGGGGTTGGCCTTTGAGGTCCTTTTCAACCCAAACCAGTCTGTGATTCTATGATTCTATTGGTGCTACTGAGTTGACTTGACAGGCAAAATCAAACATTAGAGGAATGAATTCAAGAGCTATTAAAACCTGGCACTGCAAATCAATTTTCTGGGTCATGTTAAACAATCTGATTTTTTGGTTGTTTCTTCTTTATTTAACTTCATTTTATATAACTGGCTGATGGCCCAGAGGGTTGTGGTGAGTGGAGCTAAATCCAGTTGGGATTTGTCACTAGTGGTGCTCCCCAGGGCTCATGTTTGGGGCCTGTTTAACATCTTCAGTGGTGTTCTGGATGTGGGGATTGAGTGCATCTCAGTAAAAATGCAGATGACACCAAGTTGGACTTAATGGTTGGACCTGATGATCTTAGAGGTCACCTCCAACCTTGATGATTCTATGATTTTATGATTCTGTCCCTATACACAGACTTGACTCCACAGACCTATGGAATATGGGTTTCGATAGTACAAATGGATGCTGCTGGGATGTGTTCAATTTGCATTAATCTCTTTTCAACTGAATGGAGACTAGTTTTGCTTAATGGTTAACCATTACCATGTTTAATGATTTCAGTTCTTACTTTTCCATTGGCTCCAGGACCACCGCCTAATCTTTTTTTCCCCTCCTCACATTCCAGTTTCTCTGTCTGAAGATGACATTCCTTTCCCACTTTCGTATTTCCCTACCTTCCAGTTTGACCAAAACGGGGCATATTTTTCAACTGGCTTAACCTATCAGTAGTCTTACTTCATCCACAGAAAATTGTAACCTTTTAATCCTAAAGATGCCTTCTTTCTCCCTCGTCCCCTGGACTCAGACTCCTACAATGTCCCCATTGACTTTTGAATTCTCCATTACTTTCCTCGAGATTCTCACGCTTCCAGTTTGACTGTGGCCTTTCTCTCTCTAAACCACTTCCTACTGTGCACTTTCTTCTCTGTGGTTCCTTACCAAAGGGATTGCCTTGTTTTACAAGGCAAGCACTCTACATTCCCTTACATTTTCTCATGTTGTATTTGCTTATGCCTCTTAGATTATGACCTCAGTTGAGCTCTGCTTCCATTCTTTGCTCAATACAATTCATCTCTTGTAAAGCTCTGCGCATACCCGGGGTGCTAGTTAAAAATCAAATAATAAATTCATTTACTTTACTTTTTTAAAAGGTACTACATTCTCATTCAAGCTAAGATGCATTTTGCAGCCACACAAATACTGATTCTAAATTCAAAACCATCCAACCATGTGCCTAAGGAACAGCTAAGAAAGCGAATCATGGTTTAAAATATGAACTGAGATGATCTTGCTTTTTCCCTCTCAGTCTGAAGTATTGTAGAATTCCTTTTAAATTGTAAATTTATATCTTTGCACTCTATAGCTACTCTGCACCATATCATTACCTTTAGCTAAGCTCTGCCAGGGGAGGTTTAGGTTAGACATTAGGAAGAGATTTTTTATAGGCATTGGAATGTGCTGCCCAGGGAGGTGGTGGATTCACTATCCCTGGAGGTTTCTAAGATGAGGCTGGATATGGTCCTTAGTGCCATGGTCTAATAACCACAGCAGGGTTGGACTTGGTGATCTTGGAGGTCTTTTCCAACCCAGTTGATTCTATGATTCTATAATATCAGTCTTCCAAGCAGTAAGTCAGTTAAACCAAAGTTTTCTGTCTAAGGTAAATCCATACTTGCCATCCTTTTCTGGTCTGCAGATACCTCAGCTGTTGATTGCTTGGTCTTCTTAATCACCCATTTCCCCACGAAGTGTTGCAATTTCATTGCAGAATGTCATGCCTCCTAGCAAACCAAGTGTTTAGAGAGTAAGCAGGAAGAGAAAAATTAAATTCTTGAGATTTGTGTTGGACTTTCTATTCAAATGACTATGTGTGACAGCTCTACACAGATTGCTGCATTCATTTTTATGTTTATTTTTAACCTATTTTTAATTTGTCAGATGTTATGACAGAAATTGCAGTACTTCAGTAATTTTTTGCAAAGAAGCTGAAGAAATCAGGAGTACTGCCACAATTTAGGTCAGCTAGAAATATAGACCCAGGGGTGAGGTACTGAGAGGCAAGAAAGATAGCTGCTCCCCACGACCTTCATTATATGCATCCCCTTTGCCTCCATAAAAGAGGTGTAACTTTGGCTTAAGATTGGGCAAGTCTTTGGATGTAGGAGCTACCATGGAGGATCTAGAACACTGCGTAGCCACTTTCTAGACTTCCCTATATTTTTATGTAGCTGTGTCTTTTTACACACATTCTGGTTTTTTTTTGTGTAATGTTACACCAAGACTCCTATTACAAAGTGTTAGTAGAAGACTACTCAATAAGGATTTGTCATTGCACACACATGTGTCATAGCACACCCTTGCAGTGTGTCATTATGATACTCTACTGTTTCTTGGAAGGCAAAGATCTCCTGGGATTTGATCAGCAATGCCTGTAAAGATATGCTTTGAGATAAGTGTTTGATTCAGTGATTTGTGAAGTCAGTCTGTTGCTTGTTGCCCAGGAAATATTAGGATTATTTCCCCCAAAAATATGCCCAGTAAAATGTTGTTCAGTACAGTATGAATGGTCAAAGTGTGGCATTTTTTGCCTCACCTAGGCTGTTTCTGTCATTCAACTTAATTCCCACTCTCTTTGTCAAGCATTGAATTACTGAAACTTAATCCAAATTATTTCTAATAGTACCTCATAATTCTAGACTAGAAGTGATCTTTCTTGCCTTTCGGTACAATCAGTACTGTCTTTCATTTATTATGATGCTTCTTTTAATTAAGAGAATAGTTATTTTACCTTGCCTGTTGTCTTTTTATAACTTTGGAGGTTTATCACATTTTTCATCATTAAGCTATCAGGATAACTGACCTAAGAGAACATGTACTGTACAATTTGTTTTAAGCTGAATCGATTTTTCATGCTGCAATTAAGCCCTGATTATAGAAGATACTAATGCACTGTGTCTTTCTTTTCCACAGCCCCAACAGAAGCTCCCTTACATCCTCACCTAGGTAGGTGATTTGTCATTCTTACTACTAAAACTCAGAATCACTAACTTTATTATAATAGAAAAATCTGTAAGGTCATATGAATATACCTCTAGGGAATTCAAATATTATGAGACTCATATAAAATGAAGTTATTTGTGTCTAATTCTGATTAGTTGTTTCAACATTGTGATTTTTAGTGCTGTTTATTTGTTGCCTTTGAACCCTTGCAGTGTGAGTATATCATGCTAGAGAACTTTTCTTCCTAGTTATGTATTAGAGTAGCTGTTTGCATGAGAACCAGGACTGAAGCAGCTCTCAAGGGTGAGAGAGTGGGGATTGTTTAGCCTGGAAAAGAGGAAGCCCTGGGGAGACCTGAGAGCACCTTCCAGCACCTAAAGGGGACATACAGGAGATCTGGAGAGAGGCTTTTTACAAGGGCATATAGCAATAGAACAAGGGGAAATGGTTTTAAACTAATAGAGAGCCTGTTTAGAATAGATATAGTGAAGAAATTCTTTACTGTGAGGGTGGTGAGATACTGGAACATGTTGCCCAGAGAAGTTGTGGATACCTCATCCCAGGAAGTGTTCAAGGCCAGGTTGGATGTGACTTTGAACAACCTGGCCTAGTGAAAGGTTTCCCTACCCATGGCAGGGAGGTTGAAACTAGATGATCTTAAAGGTCCCTTTCAACCCAAACCATTCTGTGACTCTATGACCCATAACCCTCAGTGTGGGACAGAGCCTCACACCAGTGCTGGGTTATTGGGAGGAAAGTTTCGTCCCAGTGCACCTCCAAGGTATACCTGGGAACATGCTGTGCCTGCAGGGAGAGGACTAGAGGGACTGGACATAAACTGAGGCAGGAATGATTCAGATTAGGTGTTCAGAAAAATGTTTTCCCTGTTAGGGTGTCCAGGCACTGGGATAGGTTGCCCAGGGAGGTGGTGGAGTCACACCCCTGAGGGAGCTTAAGAGGCATCTGGATCTGGTGCTGGAGGATATGGTTTAAGGGTTACAACAGTGACAGGTTATTGGTTGGACTCAATGATCCTAGAGGTCTCCTCCAGCCTTGACTGTTCTATGATTCTATGTTCACACTGGATTTTTTTTTCATATATTGCTTTCTTTTCTTTGCAGCTGAAATGCACAGTGACAGCATAATCCTACGAGATGACTTTGACTCTTACCATCAGCAAGAATTGAATCCTACCATGTGGTGAGTTTCAGGCTTCATGTTCTCCTCTGCTCCCCCATTCTCTGATGGTTGCAGAGACCCAACCCATACACTGTTTCATAAAAAAAAGGAGAGTTGAGGAAAAATAATAATTTCAGTATTAATAAAGTCAAATATCCTTCTCTGGAAGGGATAGACTCCTTAAGTCACAGCCACATCTCTAAGGACTGCAACAGTAAAAGCAGGGCAATATGGAGAGATGGCTGTTGTTGGAGCCTTTAGGAGTGGCACTCCTTAGCTTAGAAGTGGGGAGTTGGAAACAATCACAGACTGTGAACTTTTAGTCAAAATGGATGTTCTTTTAGCAAAAACGACTCTTAGTCCTCTCAGCCTTAAATATTGATCATTTATCACATTGATCACAGAGTACTGTTTCATATGGTATATGCGTAAGACATTACAGAAGGGAGTTATAAATCTCTCATAGTACAAAACTGATTCTATTCTGTGAAGTGAATATATCTACAGGTCATATTATAGCCAGATAAACACATCTCTTGGTCTTAACTTGAGGTTTTGAAGGTTGGAGCCTATGGTTTTTATATGACATTGTTACAGAGTCTAATATTCCTGCCAATCCTATTTCATAAATATGACTAATTTTATTGATTTGATTCATACAAGACACAGAAATAATTTACTGGGTTAGTTTATCTTGTTCAAAGAAATTGTTGATGGGCATTTTAGCAGTTACCTGCATTTGCTGGTTAAGAATACATCTGTTCTGTGAAATCTGACTTAATTTTCTATTTTATTAAGGCTTGTCACAACTTCCCATCTGTGCAGGTCTTTCACAGTTTAACCATCTTATGTGAAAAATGCTGTGGTTTGCAGAATTTTATGGATATTTTTATTTTGCACATACCAGTTCTAATAGTTTTTAGTTTGTGCCTACAATTTTTCCTCCTTTTGTTCCTTTTGTATCAGCTCTTTAAATGGTTTTCTGGACAGAGGCATTAAGGACCTGCAACACTATAGCATAAAAACCCCTCTTTCTTTATGGGAATGAGTAGATCAAGGACTCTTAATGGGTTACAGAATAGCTGCCAAGGTAAATAGCTTTAGCAGCAGTGTGTTAAATGGACTTGAGTGGAAAGAAATGAGAAGAGGCATTATTTCCCTGCAGATGTCTCATAACTCACAGAGGGCTTGTCTGTTGGGAGCATCCATAATTTATTTATCCCTTGCGCTCATCTTTAAATTCATCCTTGCTTTATAGAAGTCTCAACAGAGAAATTTCAGACTAACAGACCCCACTCTCTTCTGCTCCTTTTGTCCCCAAGATTTGGATTTGGTCTCCCTACAGTAAATTTGCCCCACCTCAGTTGAGAGCAGAGAGATGGGAGCTGGGAGAGAGAATCCCCAAACTCACTGCAATCCTGAGACAGATTTTCCTGTACCAACAGTAGGAAGGCAGCATTTTCAGCAATGCTAAATAGAAGTGGAACAGAAATAAAAGAAAACCATAATGAGGTATCATGAGCTTTTCAGCATAAAGGATTTCTACAGTAGCTCTGCCTCCAGTGAAGACCTGCTTCGTGGCAGAAAGCTCATTCTCATTTGATTGTCTAGTGGGAGTTAAATCAGGAATTATTAACAGTTGTTGCCATCTACCCTAAAATTGCATTTTTTCCCCTGGCAGCTGCTAAAATCCCATCTTTATCACAAACAATTGCAGTAAGTGCTGGAGCACTGTTTCCAGCCCAGCTCAGTCCTGGTCTGCTGTGATGTGTGCAGCTGCCTCATGTGTGCAGATACCCCAGCAGTGCTGTGCCACTGGGGGCCAGTTAGCCTAAGCCACTCTAATCATTTCTGAAACCATTATTTGTGTAAAGATGAAAAGAGGAGTGTTTGTACTTTCCTATGATCTTTTCTTCCCAAATCCTACATAACACTGGCTTGGAAGTGATTAATATTTTCCTGATCCCCTTTCTGGCATGTGCAACTCTGGCAGAAATGTACCATGCAAGTGCACCAGCAAAGCATTTTATAGCTTCTGTGTGTGTCTAATTTTATGAGTCCCAGCAGAGCCTGTGTGTCACTCAATTGCTGGGAGAGGCCTCGATTCAAATAACTATTTTGCACGAGGGCACCATATGATTTCGAGAGTGACTGCCTAGTTTTTATGGAATCCTACTATTTCAAATGCATTAAAGGATGCATCTTTCCCAGCAACCATCTGTTTCTTTGGAGGCTCAGGAACAGGGAAGGAGTGGCCATGAGTGTTTCTGGAGCTGCAGAGGGAAGAGAAAGTGAAGGTTGGGATTGGGCTCTTCATAAACAGAAAAATCACAGCACCTGGGAATGGGTTCCTGACCTAAATCGAAGTTTAGTGATTGAAAGAATACAGGAGACACTACCATAGTGGGAATGGGATGGGGAGAGGAGGAAGAGGCATCAGGAGAGGACACATAGGAGAAGGAAGAAGGAGGGTTTCTGCAGGAATGGAAACATGTCTCATCTTTCTCATTTTCTTAGGACTCAACCAGCATGAGGATTTTCTTGTGTGATTTGTCCAACTAATTTTTATATTATTTTCTTCCAGTGTGCAACCATGTCAGAATATGATTATTTCCAAAATTTCCAACCATAGACACAAACTTGCTTACTTAAGCAAGGATTTCCTTGTTTCTTGGGTCTTATTTGCCACCAATGTTACAAATGCATCTTGTCTTGTGAAACAAATGTGCTTCACATGTTCATAAATGCCCAATGTATTTTATGTCTGACATGTACTAGCTGTAGAAGTTAAGGTAGGAAAGTGATTCCCACTCCATGGTAAATGGAACATCCATGCTCAGTGGGTCACTGCTGACCTGTGGAACTAATTAGATAACAATGTTTAATGCATTTTTCAATGAGAAGTCCAGTAGTTCAGGTGATAAGTGGTCCATGAGACTTACTGAAAACTGATAGAACAATGTTAGATCACTCTCAGGAACCATGGAAATAATTGATTTCCTGTGTAAGGAAGGGGTGTCTGTACCATTTGCCTGGGAATGGCTGGATGAGAAGATGTCCAATATGGGTGGTATGAGGAAGACTGTCTAGGTTGTTGAGCACCTGTTCCTGTGTCCATCTTACCTCCATGTAACCTCATTAAACTGGGCTGGAGAGTATGAAAAAGGTGCTACATAAGACCTAAACCAGGTCAGAAAGAACAAATTTAGAAGAAATATTCTGTTTAATCCTATGATAAATGTTTTCATGTTAAGAAGATGTATAAATTAGTAAAGAATATGTTAAGGATAGATGCTGGCATTAATGTATGTTTCTGTATAAAATAGTTCTAATATTAGGGCTGTAGATAACAGAGGATTCAGTACATTTGAAAAAGAGCCTGTAGAGAAGCTTGTTGTGGGCTAAGCCTTCCTTCCCAACTTGATGTCATGTTTCATCTCAAAGCCTATCAGCATGCCAAACAGCAATCACTTACAGAAGACACAGTTGTCAAAGGTGGCATGAAGAATAGCTGAGCATGTAAAATCAATCAATAAGGAACAGAAATTCCCTTGGTCATCACTTCTTCATGGCATATGAGAAATGTACAGGTACAGTGATATTTCCAGTGGCAAAGAGGTGGAGGAAAGCTTTGTGACAGGAGAGAGAGGTCCTAAAGTGGTTTCCAAATTGCACTAAAACTGTGGGATTAAACTTCATAAAGATTTATGTTTCAAAATCTCTTGGCAGCTTGAGATGTTTATCTTCCTTGTAGTTCAGACATCACAAAAGACATCAGTCAATATAATGTCCACAAACTCAGGTATTGTAGAGGGAAACAAGATGAAAAATAGGAATGGGGAAACAGCAGATGTTTCCCCTTCAGCAAAGTGAGGAACAATAGCAGAGAGAGGTGGGACTCTCTAAGCCAGAGATGAGAGTGATGGCAGGTCTGCAGAGAAGTCATCTCGATAAATGTGACACACGTCAGCAGTGGCACAAGTACCAGCTGTGAAGAGAAAGTTGAAGTGATTTTAACATGCTCAGATTTTAGACCAGGCAGGTGAGAAAGATAATGTAGAAAGCTTTATCCAGCCAGGGCAATTAATACTGTCTCCTGTTCGTGTTAAATGGAAAAGAAATTCACCTTCCTGTCTGCACTAGGAGAGGAGCAAATTGGATCGTTTCGAAACACGTAGTACTATGACAATGATCTGAGGAACAGCAGATCAATTATCTTACTCTTCATGCATTCTTGTCAAGCTAATGAGCAGTTTATTGTCAAAGGTAATGCATTTCAAAGAGAGCACAAAGGTTTGAATCAGGATAACCAACAGCCATCCAGTTTCTTCTGAGGCTAGTCATCCTAGAAAAGATGAGTGATGTATGAGCAGGACAGTGTTTCTGGATTTCCAGACAATATTTCATAGGCCACGTTACAGAAGTAGAATAGATGAACAGCTGAATCACTTTGAATTCATTTAAATATAAGAATTACAGAATTAAAATATCCCTTAGATTATGTAGCCTGACCTTTCACAAGGAGCTAAGTGGTCCCTACATAGTATTCAGGGCAAAGTTTTCCTGCCATATCTGTCTCTCCCTGCAGATACAGGGAGTTCAGGCAGATGCTCCATTGTAAAACTCAAAAACATAGGGGCAGACAATGAAAACAATTCTTATAAACAGCCAGAATCCTACAGAATTCCAGGCATTCTTCTAGTTCCTGTCCCTCTGTTCTTCATTTACCTGAGTTTAGGGACTGAGTGAAGTTTAGATAGCAACTAAACGAACTCCATGGCTGTGCTTTCTCTTAAAGTACAATTTTAGTCACTCACATGCTCTCTTCTTTTGGGCCAACTGTGGCTTCTGTAAGTAAATATTAACTCACTGAAGTCGATTGGAACTTGGTTACCTTATTAGAATATTCAATTTTGCTGCTTAAATTCAAACTCCTAAAGAATATTAGTGTGGATTGCCAAATTACTTTGTTGACAGGTTCATACAGGGGAACAAAAAACCCTCGAAGATTTTTTATGTCTGACTTTGTTTCTGAAAGTGGAGCTGAAACTGACCTTGAATAAAATTTCAGGTAAGGTAGAGCTTTGGAAAGTGGGAATAAGTCATTCATCTTTGACTTCTGTAATGGACCTAGGTATAATGAAGCCAGTCCTGTGCTGAACTCACCCAGGACCAAATGAAGAGACCCAAAATAACAAGTGCAATCAATTATTCACCATATCTATGCATCTGAAAACCTAACATCTATCACTCAGCAGAACTTAGCACTCACAGACCTGCAGGATGTTGTTCAGGGTATTGTACACTGGCCAGGGTTAACCCATTCTGCCCAGGGTTACCCACACTAGTGATTTCTAATCACTACTTGGGTTTGGTCAGTACTTGTGCTCACAGTTGCCCATCCTCCCTTCCTCAGACCTTTTGGGTGCATGGTCACTGCAGGGAAAAGTTGGCCCAGCTTCATGGGGTAGCTGGCAATGCCACCAGCCTCTTCCTCACAATGCAGCTGGAGATTTCATTTGCCCTGTCCAGGACCAGAATGGGTTGATGATTTTCATATACTCAGGAACAGAAACTCCAAGCAGTTTACAGAAAGACTTGCAGAGGTTTCAGCACAAGACTTATTAATGAAAAAACAAATAAGCAACATGAATTAGGAAAAGAAGTGAAAAAAATTCGAAGGAAATTTCTGTAGGAACCAACTGTACATTGATAGTATGTATCAATTATTTATGTTCAGCTATGATTACTGAAATCTCGATCAGATATGCTGGCAGCAAGATCCTCTCCTTGGGATTTATTCCTTTCCAATTTCCTGTAAGATCTGCCAGCCAGAAGTTAGCCAGAGAATGAAAAGATGAATAAGAATGGAAACAAATCTTTGCACACTATTAAACTACATCTGGGCTATGGTTATGGGAATGCATATTTTTGGTGACATTATGTCAGAAAGGGTGGCCAAGTCTGAGGTACTGCCTGAGAACCCCTTATATAAGTCCATTGCATTTAAAACTCTAAAAATACCTGTTTTCTAAGTACAGACCAAAATCAGCAACAAATCAGAAGGTTTGGTGAGTTCACCTTTGTTTATAATGAAGCTACTGCTGAAGTCAATGTTTGCCTGTAGGTTTGATGTTAAAGCTGAGCTTTGGGTGCCCAAAGGCAATGTTGGTGAGCACTGTTGCAGGCAGCTTGGTTAGGGGCCAGGAGTACCTCCAGCATCTTTTGAAAATCTGCTGCTCATGCCAAGGTCCAATACCCTGATCTTTGAGAGTGAGGGAGACAGCCCCATCCCTGTGCTCTGCAGTTAGGCTGCCCACAAAGGCCTTTATATTAAGTTGAGAAATGTCAGGAGAGGTGCAATTACTTGTCTCTGCAGAACTCATCAGCCTCTCTGAGAATTTCTCGGTAGTTTTCCCCCTAAAAGGTGAGCAGAGTAGCACCTCTGTTACTAGCAATAGGGGATATGACCCATACAAAGAGAAAGCAACAGCAAGTCCCATGTTACAGCAGCTGGGCTCTAGGAGCCTCTTGCTGCACAGTTTTGGGGAGAGTCTGCAGCCTAAAGCCTACCCTTTGGGAAAATAACCCTGCAAGCTGTAGAGGAGCTGATTCCAACCCCTTGTCCTCAGCTGTTCCCTGTGGTAACTCCATGAGAGTGGCTTTACACATGGTATATCACATGTGCAGTAAGGGTTTTGCAAGAAGAGTAACTTCAGGATAAATTATACATATAAGTGTTCAACTTGGTTTCCCATGCTGAGATGTTTTGCATTCAACAGGCAGGGACACTCCTTTTCAGAGACGGACACTTTTCAGAGAGCAAGGGCCTTTCATGAGAGGCAGTTCTAGGACATCATACATACAGTTGCTCAACCTTTATGTTCAGCAGCATGATAACAAATACTCCAATGTGAGCACCAAGATACATCGGTCTGACTTTGCAGTTAACAAGCTCGATGTGGTCTCAAATATACAGTTTCTGATTTCCATTTTCAACATGGTGTGTTCTTCCTGCAGGTCTGAGTGCAGTAACTGTGAGGTTGGAGAGAACTGTGGTGTCATCATGCACAGCAATGCTGTCACTTTCTGCGAGCCATACGGTCCCAGAGAACTGGTAAGTGAAGGCTGCCTCATCTGCTGGGGCTGGGCCTGCAGGCTATAAGTCACAGCTGCATCAGCTACAGAGATGTTGATGTGCTTTGAAAGTTTGGTGTTCAGTGGAGAGGCTCTTATACAAGGTGGTCCTACCCCTCTAGTCAGCACCCGTGAGCCACACCTGGAGAATTGTGTTCAGTTCTGAGGTCCTCACTACAAGAGAGACATAGAGGTCCTGGAGTGGGTTCATCAGAGGGCAACAAAAATGATTAAGGGACTGGAGCACCACCCTGATGAGGAAAGGCTGAGGGAGTTGGGCCTGTTCAGTCTCAAGAAAAGACACTGAGAGGGACCTCATTAGTGTATACAAGTAGATGAATGGGAGGTGCCAAGATGATGGATCGGCCTCTGCTTACTGGTGGAAACCAATAAAACAAGAGGTGATGGGCAAAAACTGATGCACAGGAAGTTCCACCTGAATATGAGGAAGAACTTCTTTCCTGTGCAGTCACTGAGCACTGAGGTTTCCCAGAATGGTCGTGGATTCTCCCTCACTGGAGGTGTTCAAGAACATCTGGACACAATCCTGAGCCATGTGCTCTAGGATGGCCCTGCTTGAGCAGGGAGGTTAGACCAGATACCCATTGTGGTCCCTTCCAACCTAACTGATTCTGTGATTCTGCAATAAGGTGATAGAAATGCACTCCAGGATCATCCCAACATTTTAAAGAATAGATGCTAATCAAAGGTTATTGCAGTAGCTTGCAGGGAACAGTCTCTTGATCTCGTGTGCATCTAAGTTATTTAAAGTATCTCTGAAATACTAGAAAGTCAAGGAAATGAAACTGTGTTGTCAAACTGTCATAATTCTCTTTTTATTTCCAACAATGTAATAGAGACAGGGTTCATTTTTCTTCTATTACTTTGTTAGTCATGTCCCATTTTTTCTTGTCACTGTTGACAAATGTTAATTTTGCTGTAAAATACCACTTGAGAACAATGCATCCTACAGACTTAAACACAGCCTGGAGCAAGCACCTGCCAGTCTCAGGAAAGTGTGCGTAACAAATTGAGTCAGGATGAATGGAACAGAATTAATTTCATTGAGGGGGTAGTTTGGTCATAAAATTGCTGTAAGAAACAACATGGTTCAATTTGCATTAACTTGGGGTCATCTGGGTGTGGAAAATGAATTGAAATACATCTCACCAATGGCCACATGCTGACACTGGGCAGCTAGCTGCAATGATGTACATAAAATGTGGAAAGAACCGAAAAATTAGAAGGCCATCTCAAGACCTGGGTAATTCAAAATTAATTTTCATGTTTTCAGCAGTGTTCTGAGTGGAGGGAGAGGCTGATGAGAGCTATTTGAAGAGCAAACATGGAAGAAGGTCATAAACCAGAAGTGGTTTTGGCCAGGCATCTTCTCTTCATTTTAGATACTGACAATTCTTTTCTCAGGGTTAATTTTACATCCTTAACTGAGACTAGAATTCCACAAATGTAACATAGATATTTCTGGTGTGGTGAATAGAAGTCACAAACACATATAAAACTAATTTAGAGATTTTCCAGATAAAGGAGAATTTCCTTCACAGCCAGGGAATCCTGTCAGGGATACTAAATTATCTCTCTGCTACTTTGAATCCTGTCTGAATGTACTGTGCTTCTCTAAGTGCCTTGAGAAGAGATGCATTGTTTTATGTCCTGTGTAAAAATGAAGTCACACCACTGGGATATTTTTCCCATTTTTAACTCATTTTTAGTTGTAGTATTGAGCATAGGTAACACTACTTGAAGAACAATTTATGACATTTAGCAAACCCAGGGTTCCAGCTCTGAGCATTCTGATTCATTCATTATCTGTCTTCTCTCTGCTGATATACAATTTAGACTATCCTGGAACTGGCTAATCTGGAATTGGCTTAAAAATCTAGTGTTGGACTGTACTTGTCATCCTGCCATGTGGTACAATGGGACTACCATGGCATCAGGAACTTGGAAAAAATTTGTTATGATACCAAAGTAGTGTGATTAAATAATGAGCTGAAAAAAAATCATCATGCTTATAAACAGATAGCAGCCTAATAATGAAAGTGTTTATCAATATTATGGCAGTGTTGCAGGAAAACCAAATCCTTCTGAAGGAATGTGCTAATGGCTTAATATTATGGATGAGCACAAGGCTGTGTTCAGGCCAGAGGTCTGATCTAGTTTTATTTATGAGTATGGACATAGGTTTAAATCCAAAATAAGAACCAACTGGTTTCTGATTTGTAGTCGTTTCAGCGATTTCACAACACATCCCTTCCTGTCACAAATCTTAAACTGTTTCATTTCTCCATGAATTCCATGGATCCTATTCTGTCTCTGCTTGAAATGGCTCTTGCAATCTCTGTTCCTGTTCATGGCTCCTAGTGCATGCATCACTCCTTTAAAATATCTAGCTAAGAAGAGTTGAGTTTGCAAAGTATGTATTATCAACAGCTCTGACAGCTGCTGGTTTGTTTCCTTGACCTCCTTCTCTTCTCCTGACTCCCAACAGCTGCCTGTTCCTGCAGGCAGAGGGGTTTTTAATACCAACTGTCTCTGTATGTTGATGAGAATTTACCTCTGGCAAAATCCTGGAAAGATGTTTAGCAAGCAAAGGAAAATATCCATTAAAGGCACACTACCAGTCTCTCCTCAGTGTCTGAACTTAGTAGTCCTTTGCAGAACTTTGCAAAAAATTTTTAGCGAGTCTAATGCTTTTCTTTCAAAGCATTGCTGAAATGATTCACAACATAGTCTCTTTTAAGACTACCTGAATGCCTCTTCTCTGATAGCATTTAATTTCTTGGTGATATGACCCACTGAACCTTGAGAAAGGTTTTGTTTTCAAATTATAACTTGCACAACATAATTAATTGAATGTAAACTAATATAATAGGTGCTCATAATTCAAATCAGAAAGCCCTTTATTATTTGGCATGATAAGTGTGATGCCTAATACTGAACTGATCCTGACAGAATGGCTTAAATGGGAATGTGACAGTGTTTTTAAAGGGGTTATATTATGCAGCTTCCCTTTTTTTGTTTAAAACCTGAAATTACCTGTTAGGACATGTAGTCTTGTTATCAGCTGATCTTCAGTGTATTTCAGGGAAGATCCCACTCCATAATATTTGTAAGAAGTTCCTCTCTGCATGTAAATGTATGTAGAAAAGAAGCAAAACACACCACAGACTCATGCCCACTCATCCAAGTCTCCATCCATTATTTTCAAAGGCATCAGTTAATGAAAACCTCAACTAGGTGCACACCAACACTGGAATAAGTCCAGTGCCTTTTGCTCTTGTGCATCACTACCTGTCCTCTCCCACACAGGGAAGAGATGGCATTGGTACAAGCATTGGTGGGTTGCATGGCAACCCACACCAGGAAAGGAATCCAGGTTAAAACTGACTTGCAAAGGGAAAAGACTATTACTTCAACAGGAGTCAACTATTCAGGCTGATTTAACATGTAGCTACCCATGGTACATGTAAGGGAATGGAAGGAGCTATCACCTAGAATTTGTTATTCATTGGTATTTGAATACACATTCTGATTATACATTTTCAGAGAGAGGTAAATTCTTTTCAAAGTCTCCAAAAACAGAAAGGCCAATACAGATGACTGAGAGATAACATGTTCTGGTTCAATGGAGTCTTAAATAGCAGCCAGAAAACGTCTGCATTTAGGACTACCTTTTGTTCAGTGTCATGCAGCAATGCACAGGGTAATAAGGGGCTTCAGGCACAAGAGAGATCTCTCTCAGCAGTTTTCATGTTCATCTGGATAGTAGGTAATTAAAGAGCACAGGATAGCAGATAATGGAAGAATCTGTGCTTTCACCGTGTGACTCAGGGAAATTATGGAGATATTGTACTGTTCATCTTTACAAAATGCTGATAAAATTGCCTTTGTAATCCTGCCATTGTTAATTGGCACTTGAAAGAATGTAGCATCTTCCAAGATATTGAACCTTGTCTTTACCTGGGTGCTGACCTTTTTTAGGCAATTATAGCATTTTGTACATGAGTTAAAAACTTTAACTTATCTATACTTTTTGGCTTACCAGTTTATTTTCATTCTTATCTACTATCCACTTTCCTCTACCTCACTCTTACAAGCAAAGCAGAAGGATCATTTAAGCTCTCCAGGTGCTTCTTCCATGCAAATTCCCAGCTGAGCTCTGGTGGCCAAAGCCTGCTATCCCCCTAGAACTTACTTCTGAATTTGTTCGGAAGTTTGACTTCTCTGTGGTGTAGCCACAATGTGATGTGGTGCATGGATGCAGCTCACAAGGAGCACATCCAGTGGAAGAGTCTTTTGCTGCTGTCATGGGAAATGCCATGAATTATTGGTCTGACATGGGAGGGCAACTCCAAGGTCTTAAAATCCAGGATGCAGACCTCACTGGCAGCAATATCAGATTAATTTATTTAAGGTGTTTGCTGTCCCTATTATTCAATTGGATGACAGTAAACTTACTGTCTGTCCAGGGCATGTCTTTTTTCCTTTTCTCTTTTGATCTAATGTTGTCTTTGTCTTTCAGCTTGTAGGTTTTTCTTTCTTCATTTTAACCTCTAAGATCTGTTTATTATGATTTGTTTGGTCTTTTGCTAAAGTGAATGTACCAAACTCTGAGTCTCCTCTTTTGGGGGTATCCCTCCAGATGGTCTTTCTTCTTGCTAAACAATCACAGTAATTTTTCAGCTATTTGACTAAATAGCTACATCAGGCAGAGGTTTAGGCAGTGCTTCTGCCTTGCTTGTTTTGTAGCAGTATCATTAAGTCCAGCTTTCAAAGCAAATTGAAAATAATCAGGTGTCCTTCACAACATACTGCTTTTTATTTCATAGCATTTTCAGGAAAGCAGTTATAATTTGAACTACTAAAATATGGAGGCATTGAAAGAAGGGAGAAAGGTCTCAAACAAGGGTGGTGTGCTGAGTACAGAGTGAGTTGCTCAGTGTTTTGATCCTGTTTCTAGGCCTTGGTTGGATGTCAGCAGTGTGCAAATCCTACCACAATATTTCATTGTACATATTAGGTAGTATCACCAAGGTTTTGTTTACTTTGATGTTGAAGATTTAAGTTCTGTTATTTCCTCTAAATATTTTATTATTTTAGGTTTGCTTAATGTTATGTTTATTATTTATTCATGATAGTTTTTGATTCTTTTTCTGTGCTGGGAAAAGTGAAAACCATTCTGTAGATACAGGTTTACACTAAGCTGACCATAAACCACAGAGTTCACTTTTTCAATCTTTTAAACACTGGCCAGGCACCAGTGTTGCACATAAATGCAGAGTTTTATAGACATAAGTACAATGGAAAATAAAATCCAGCTTTGACATATGATGAGATATCAATAATCAAAATGACATAACAGAAATGTCCATGATCACTCAACCTGAAAGGGTTGGGGATGAACAGTTCTATGCACTGGAGATGTAGGTGTCTAGAGATTTTCCATGCTTTCAAAGAAAAAAAAGATGGATGGATGTATTGTTTTGCTGATCTAACAAAACTCTTTTCTTCTCTTCCCATAGACCACCACTGGCCTTAACACAACTACTGCGTCCGTCCTTCAATTTTCCCTTGGTAAGTTGATTCCTCTTTCACCTGAGAAACTGTAAAATGTCGTTTCTGCAAAGGAAAATAGCCCTAAAGTTCAGGTTTACCTTTCTGGTTGATGTTCCACATGACATTAGAGATTAAAAAAATCTTTAAAAAAATGCATTTATTCATCTCCCTGACCTGGAGCTCCTAATCTAAATTTTGCAAAGGAGAAATTCCAGTGGATTCTCTGATGATGGGAGGCACAGTCATGTCTGGGTCTGGGTTTTGGTTTTTTTCACTTATTTTATAACTTGACATTTAACATTATAATCTTTTGCTCTTTCTCTGAAGTGTGATTAATGTTTCTAAAAAAATGAAAGTTTTTAACATTTAAATCCCCAGGTATATCCAAGTTATACCTAGGTAGTGCTGTTCTTAACACATTTCTCCAAAGAGAATAGGTAGGGCAGACTGAAACTCAATGCTATTTAGTTCATATTATCAACAGCATAGTTGTATGCTGTAGTGCTTAGAGCATCTGCTGTGAGTTATTGCACATTTCCCTGTGCAGTTGTGGCTATAAATTATGGTAGAAGTTCTGGCTTGAGCTGAAGGCAAATTTGGAACACACTTAATTTGTTAACTCATATCTCACTGTTCAATATATGAAGGAAAAAATGTTCTTATGATATAAATGGTTCAATAAAAAGGCAAGTAGAAAATGTAGCCTGCTTCCTCTGTGGTCCCCTGGATATGTGTTTCCAAATCATATTCCTATTTTTAAAAAAGTAATTCTCCAAAAGTACCTCAGCAGACATGTGATTAAACTCTGGAAATCTCAGTTGGAAATAAGAACTATCAGGTAGCTTGGCAAGCAGCTTGGTGTTCTTAATGGATTGAAAATCAAAATCCTAGAAGGCTCAGAAATGTAGCATTTAAATTTGTTTTTTACCTGAAGTTGTTCATTTGGGTATTTGAAGCAATCATGACCTGCAGTTGACTGCAATGTTGATAGATCTAAGGATTGGTTTTATTTTGAATCACTGGTTTTTAAAAGCCAGAAAAATGTATCCAAGCCTCAACTGAATTATTGCATAAATACTGGGCACCTCAAATGAAAACCAGACTCTTGCTCCCCTGCAGTTTGATTCAGCCAGTGAAAGGTCTGATCTGCTATGATGTGTTGCTCACTGGCAGAAGGTTTCCCACCCTTGGCTGTCCATGAGAAGAGGTGACTTCTATAATACTGCAAGTTTGTGATGATGGAGGAATTTCAATTTTCATAAAAATTTACAAAAATCTTCTTTGGCTTCTTCTTGCAGTGACCCAGAGTGGTTAACAGCAGGGTGAGCTGAGTGGGTTGGTAGGTGTGTGTTTGCTCTCACACCTGGTGTCTGCTGCAGGTGAACTGTAAGGCTCCCAGAAGTTTCAAAATTAGACTTTAGATTTCACCAGGAGACTTTGTTCCTATCAGCTAGGGAAGGTCAAATGAAAATGAAAGGATAAGAAAAGGCTGAGCAGGAAATACTCTATATGACAGGATTGTTATGAATATATGGTAAGAATCCCTTACCCTGTGCCAGTATGAAACAGTGAAATCCTTAGTAGGATAGAGCAGTAGAGGGATGGATGCACATCTGAGTGAATCAGATTTCAGCCTGAAGTTCAAAATGTCTCATATTTCCTCATGTGCCTGTGTTGAGCTTGAAATACAGTGCAGATTGGTTTTGTAACTGATAAAAACCTGCATGAGCCAGGGGACTGCTGAGCTCAGCAGTACTTGGCTTTAGAATCCAGTCTCCAGCTTATTCCCAAATGTCCGATTTAATCATAACCCTATTTAGGGATTCATCTGAGGGAATTGCCTTTTCTCTTTTAAAGAATGTTTACCACTTTCTATCGACCGTGGAATAGCTTGAGCTGTAACCTTTTGGGGGTATCTATTAAATTTGTCACGTAGCTTTGGCCACATTAAAGTGCAAACCCTTTAATTTCTCTCACCACTAATTGTCAGATGGAGGTTTGTATTTGCAGGTATATATAGGCAGATGAGAACTAGGAAATGAAGGGGAAAAAAATAATCCATAAATCCCAGATCCTTTTAAACTGTGTGACCAGGAAGGGTAACACACTAGTGAATTTTTTATTAGTTGATATTCTGTATAGTTTCCTTCATGTATCACCTCTTTGGTAGCCTTGCCCTTTAAAGGGCAAGGTGGTTGGAAAGGTGCACTTCAGACAAAGGCTTAATTAGGATAAAAAGGTAATTAGTAAGGCCTTTTCAGCACACAGGACAACAGTAATAAGCAGTATCCTTTCCGAATGAGAGGAACTTTTTGGCTGTGCAGCATTCACTTGGAGCTGGTGGCATTGCCTTTTGGTCCAGGGCTGGGGTGATATTTACACTCTCTGCCCAAGTGTGCAGAAAATTTCCATTATTTCAAATGTCTTAATCATCCATCACCACATTTCTCCAAGACCAAGCACTGACATGTCTAGCAGTTTCCTTAATGTTCAGTGGGATTGTTAATTGAGATATTTAAAGCAATGCCTTTGGGCTCTCCCAGGCCAGAACATCTGATTGAACAGCTTGGGAATTGCAGGATATGGCACAAAAGCCTCTGGACTCAGCTGCCACACAATGTTAGTCTGATTCATTAGCTGAAGTATTATCTATTTCTCACTCCAAATTTCAGCCTTTTCTTCTTAGCTACATCCCTGGACTTCTCCAGAGTTGAACATAATCTGTCATTTGCGTTGGGCCACTGTGATGGAAGGTTACTCATAGTACTGAGAGATTAGCAACTGAGCTAAACACAGGAAGAAAGAAACCCATGAAATCCCACAAGGAAGAGAGGAAAGGCTTGAAGGCAGCTATGCCAAGGTGTGAGGTGTGCAGGTTGTTGTGCTCATGTGTTGTTCCTTGGGTGTCCTCTTCAAGCATATGCTGTGGTGGCAGTGGTGTGTGTGGGCTGTGCATGCTCTGCGTGGGCAGTTCAGCACTGGCAGGTGCTTCCCATCCCTCCTCCCTCTGCAGAGCCTCTGCAGCAAGCACCAAGCCAAGGCTGAAGGTGCTGTAATGAGCATCAATGCTCAGCCAGGCCTCCAGAGCAGCTCCTCCTTGGAGCCATGTGTGTCACAATCTGAAAATCGTTAATGGAAAATATTGCCTTGGAAAACTTCCTTCCATAGCTCTCTCCTTATGTCTTAATATTAGTAGATCATTTCTGCAGTGAAATGATACTTGAAAAAGGGAATAACTTGATATGGAAACCTCCCACTCTTCAGCTTTCTTAAGAAAACTCTTCAACAGTCCTCTGAGAACAGGATGACTTTGTCAGCATCCTGTGCTGGGTAAATACATAATATTTGTAAGGCAGAGTCCTGCTTTAAAATTGCTTTCCATTCAACTTTTATGCCACTCTCACAAAGATCTTCTGCCATTACTAGGGCAAATGAACAATTCTCTCTCCCCCATAATTTTATAAAAATCTAACCTCCCTACTATTTTATATTAAACCAAAATTGGTTTATGGGGGAAGAGCTTTCTTTTATCTTCTGAGAGAGAGAGAGAATTCAGCTTCAAACATTACAAACCTTTGGCACTTCAGCTGCATTTTTTAAAGATCAGGGCAGTAGTTCTGCAAGCAAAGAACTAGCCAAAGGTTCAAAAGGGTTGGGTTTTTTTTTTGTTGTTGTTTGCTTTATTTGGAGAAAAAGCTTGGGCTTGGACCCTCCCTACCAAAAAAACTGTTATAAAGAACCTTTGCAAAAGTTGGATTCCCAAATGTAGCAGATTTTACTCTGGGTCAATCACTAATCCTTAGTTTCAGTCCCTCTCAAAACTGACTTTCTATGACAAATATATGGCTTGCAGCATTTTAAATTTGTTTCTAATCATAACCATATTTCCCTAATTGATTTTAACTGAGTTCTGGTCATTTAATATGTGTAACATTGACATACATGTTCACCATGACAAATGAAACATCTTACAGGAATCTCAATATGATGCAGAATAACTCTTCCTGCAATAAATAAAATAGTAAAACCTGTCCCTAAACTACTGGTGGGCACTGAGAATACTACTGAGCTGGCAAAGAAGGTTCTGCTTTCTGAGAGTTTACTTTGCTGTTAACATGAAAGACCTGAAGATGCAGAATGTATGAGCAATGGTGATCTTCAATACTTGAAGGCTGCCAGGCCTTAACACTGGGAATTCCTTAGGTGTCTTTGCTGCACAGATCCTATGCTTAGTCCCTGATTATTGCTAGAGAAAAGACCTGACATGAGGCAAAACATGGATCTAGCACATCAACCTTCATTAAAAGCAGTTTTCAATGTGATGCTTTAGTAGCAGGCTTTAATCTGGGAGAGTGCTTTGTGATTTTGCCAGATGGACTCTGTCCTCTCAGGAAAATCCTGGTAGGTATTATCCATAAGATGGGTCACTCATGTTCTGATTTTCTCATTGGTCTGGCACCAGAAGCATTGGGACCTTACTTTTAGAATAAGAATGGTCCTTTTTCAGTGGGAAGGGGCCTACAAAGATCATCTAGTCCAACTTGTCTGATCACTTCAGGGCTGACCAAAAGTTAGTGTGTTGTTAACTTTCTCAACATCATCCAGCTGCTTCTGTGCCATCTGTTGCTAGTGCATCTTCCATTCCAACTTATTTTCTATAACCATCCATCAGACAACCAATTTTATTGCTGAATACAGTATTTGACAGAGTTCCATATGGATAAAATTAATCTATTACAATCACTAACAATACCTACCAGCAGCTTATCAATCTCCCTTAATATATTTCCAACTGAACCCTATAGCAAGGATAAATGTGTGTATCTATTGGTTTTAATATGGTTAAAATATTATTGAAGAAATATTGCTATTGGTATTCAGCTATTCAGGAGTTTTTTGCTAAGGACAAAACCCCATTAATTCCAGGTGCAAAGATGTTACTAGGGTGATCTTCTTTCAGTGGTACCCACTTTGTCCTCATTCTCTATCAAAGGAAATATAATGCTAAGCTTTCTCCT